AAAAAGTTTCACCATTTCGTTTTCTTGACAATCTGACACTACACGTTATAATCTGAATATTAAAAATCGTAGAAATTATTTTCATTTATGAAGCTAGGATGATCATCTAAGATTGGAAGCTGAAGTATTTTCAAAATTATTAATTATTTCGATGTTAATATATCTGTAGTTTCGTTACTCCTGTTATTCAAACTGCTGAATATGAAATAAAATAATTTGTATATTGTATACAACTACGAAAAAAGAATGCAAACATTTCGTTGGTATTCGTGTTCTTCATAAATTAGCGCAAGAATATTTCAATTATTATCGTAACTATTAAACAAAATTATATTTATAAATTATCGTTACAGATCAATTGATTAACCTATTGATGAGAATAAAAAAATTTTTACATTTATATTTTATATCGATACGTTACGATTCTCTGGACTTTATACACTAATGGATTAGTATATGCGACAAATATCACGATAGAAAGAAAAACGCGTGTGAAAATACACGTTTCCTTTCAAATTAACCAATCAGATCCGCACTCTTTCCGCGAAGATTCGGAAATATGAAAAATTGCGCGTATTCTTCGACGAAACTCTTTATCGTCGTGATAAAATGCAATAACACGAGGAAGTATCGTTCGTGCTTACTCGGTAGAAATGTTTTTTCACGCTGTAGTCAATAACTCAGCGACTTGGAATAATTCAGGTCACCATGATTTAAAACTAGAAAAAATAGAACCGCTATCATTTGCGACCGGTCTATCTTAAGAATCAAGGAGAAAATTGTGAAATTTATGCGCCTCGTAGGCCAGCATAGAAAGAAAGAAAAGAAAGAAATTCGTCAGCCGTTCTCACGCGATACACAAATACAAAAGAAACTCTTTTCTATTCTAACCGTAAGAAACACAATTATAAATCTGAAATAATATACCATTTTAAAACTCCTAATGCAAAAATTCCATTTCTCTCTGTTGATTGGTTATGCAGTGGTGAACAATAAATAAGAAATATACCGATTTAGCTGAATGGATATATTTTGGTTATACGGTTATAGTGCACGTGTCGGGCTACAGAACGGTAGCTGAACAACTGACGATCGAAGACAAACAAAAGGATGCCAAGTACAGAATGGTGACACTGCTAGCAACGTTTAATAATAAAATTATAGATAAAATTTCAGTGAACTTTTATACTATCTGTGTAACACTATCGTTTTACTCGACTTGCGAACAAGGAGAGGAAGGAGATTCCCTGCTCAGACACGGAGAAAATCCGTGACAGGGCCCCGCGAGGCCGATCGAGGAAAGTAGCCCCGTGTCTCGTAAATTCGTTGCGATAGCATTTCCGTGACTTATTACCGCGGCAGGCGAGAAACGTCGGTGGTGGCGCTGCGACTAATGGTGTTGCGGTTGGAAAAATAAGAGGAAAGGCGAGTAAGGAAACGGCGCGCGATCGAGCCGTAATTTCGGACGACAACGGCTGCTCCACCCGCCGCCCTTCGTCATGCGAAAGTCCGAAACCTTACCGCCATTAAACGCGCTTATATATATATATATAATAAAAAGATAGCCGGGCGATGGTTGGCCAACCGCGCGTATCAATCACGATAATAGGACAATAAATATCGGACCGACAACCGGCTAAGGTCAAAAGTGCACCACCTTGCAATTTCTGCCCGAGTTGCCACCACCCTTCGACTAGCCATCGCGCCCGCAATATGTAATCGCGGCTCCCTATCGGGGCCTAAGCCTCGCATTATGGGGCGCCCGTTTCTTCGATATCGAGCACTTGACCATCCGATCGAGTCACCTTTATTACTGGCAATCTTTGCAAAAGTCGAATCAATCGTGTAAAACGCGCGTTGGAAATGAGGGCGAAACTAGTGGCGCCCTAGTGTAAACTTGGTCTTTCGTTATAAACTATAAAAGAAGGGGAGGAAGAAAAGGGAAGCTGGACTGACTATTAAAAGTTGCAAATTGCTGCAGACACACGCTGCGTTCGCCTAACTTAACTCCCTTACTCGCTCCTAGTCACCCGCTTGCTTACTTATTCCTTATCCTTTCCGCGCCGCAGTTTCCTCGCGTTGCATTACTTGTTCATGTTCTTTCCTCGTTGCATCTGGTGCAACTCCCTGGAAAGGTGTAAGCGACCAGGTAACTGCAAACTTTTGGATAACGAAACAACTATCTCTTTCTCTCTCTCTCTCTCTATGCTGTTATATTATTTTTCGCATTTGTTAAGGGCGAAAGTTTCGAAACGACCAGATCGAAGGGGAGGGGGGGAAACAGCTGGGCTGCAGTTCCACGATTATGAAACATCCTCCGCTCTTCATCCTTCATATATATATATATATGCATACGATTTGATCCGATTATCGACTTGCGTATAATTTTCGACGGAATCATCGAGATGAAATATTCATTGCACGGGATCGGCCGATATAAATATTGTACTCGTCCGTGTACACATCCGCGCGTTTATCTTTATGTCCTCCCCGTAATATTTACGTCCGCGTGAAAATTGTACGGATGTGCCGTACGTGTAGGATATCCACGTGTTTTTTTTCCTCCGCTCATTTGTTCTCGAAAAATTCGTTTCGAAATATACGTGTCGTAACCGTATTTCGTATCCTTGCCATCGACGACAACTCTTTGCTGTTGTCCTTTTATGACGAAGGAACAGGCCGAGATTTTCATCCTTCCTCCGAATAAATCGTGAACATTTCAAAGGGATCGGATCGGCGTTTCCTTTTTTTCCAATTTCATTTATCATCAACGGATGGGTATCAGTTTTGAGGAGATGGCCGTAAATTCTCCGCCTTTTTTGCTCTTTCGAGCACTGTTCAAACATTGATCTTTTGAAAGTACACGTTGGTCTCGAATAACGAAAGAGGATCGAGCGGGAAGTGATCCGCAAATTTTAGAAATTTCATTTTACCAACTTCGCGCAAAGATACCATCGTCGTATCGAAAAATTACTCGAAATTTGAACGATCGTAATATCTTGAAACGACTACAGCGCAATCTCTTAGAGAAGTTACGAAGTTATCCGGGATTTATCGGCCGTATGAACGAATTCCGTTCGCGCAAACGCAGCGCAAAAATGACAAACAACACGCGATAAACCCGTCGCATTACACATCAATTATCGTGCCCCCTCTCCCCGCGCCTCGATCATTGTCGTTTTCTTTCCAATTGAGCATCGGTGTATCGCGATTGTAACGGGCTAATAAAGCAAATGAAACGCGCATCGTTGCCCCCGTATTCCAGTGTTCCAATAAACGGCATCAACGGCATTTATTTTACCAGTTAGTTGCGGCTTTTCATCTCTCTTCCCGCCAACGCATCCCCATAAAGCATTTTCCAACATGCGCCGCATTCGCAACAAAGCGCTCGTGTCCATCCAAGTAAACCGGTTTATCGGACTGTATAGTATTTTGCTTACGTGCGCAAATTTCGCAATTCGGTTTAATCATCGCTTGATTACCGGATACCGTGGTAATTAACATCCCTTCCAGCTAATAAATAAACAATAATGGTTCCTAGCTTTCTAGAGGAGAATTTTCGACGAGGAAGACGAAGAGGAGGAAGAGAAAGAAACGTTAACGATTCGATATCGTTAGGGAGGGCGCCATTTGCGTGTACCGAATTAACGCTGCGATACGTATCGCCCGTACGGATGACACCATTTTTCCATTAAGTCTGTCCACAGTGGAAAGAAGCGAGGCTTCCACTCTTCCAACGCCTCCCTTAATAAACCCTCCTCCGGATTAATTATCCGGCCGGAACTGTACCCTGCTATAGTCGTAAATTCTAAGCAACGTTTTACATACATATACGCCCTGTTCCCCAACTTTGGCTGATGAAATCTCGTCTTTTCAACTTGCACTTGCGCTTGCTACTCGGTGTAATGACGCATTCTTGTTAATAATTCACTCGTGTAACCGCGATTCTCCCACGGTGCACGTACACCTGGAATATACAAGCGGCCAGGGATTTAGTTTATGCTCGAGCGAATTGATACATCGATCGAATTAATACCCGACACGAGAGGTAGGAAAAGGAATATAATGGAAGGAGGGGGAAAAAGGTTAATCGATCGAATTGTTCGCGATGATTTTGCGGATCGTTAAGTTGTTTTGTTTTCCAAACTCTAATCTCGAATCCATGAAATATATATTTGTACGTGTATATAGGATATTATGGGATCAGCCGGATTACGAAATGTATATTAATGACGAGTAATTAAAACAATGAACACGATAATAATAATTTCACGAGTGGTCGTATATATACCTATTTTGATAAATACGTTCATTTTGTAATGATGTTACGTATATTTTACGCTTCGCTCCTATTAATAATAGGATAAATTGGTAATCCCCCGATATAAACACATTTCGGATACTCGTGCGTGTATTCGAAAAATTGACTCCCGCGTCGAGGATTTCAAGAGCGGCGAAGGAAATACGACGAGAAATCTTTTCCGATCTGCACTTTTTCTCCATCTTGTTTCCTCGAGATGACTTTTACTATCTATGGAATATCGACGACGATGAAGGATGCATCGCGATGCATCTAAAGAATCTAGTTTATGGCGTGTGTTAAGGATAGGCGACACGTCCTATTTCCGCGAATCGCCGTCGTATATCACGTATATCCATCCCTTTTCGAGGGCTAACTATAGGCGATAATCTATAAACGAAATTATACTCGTCGTTCGGGAGAAAATCTAGAATCCGTCGTGGAGGAACACGTCGTGCTTTATCAGCTGAAACGTTTCAACGCGTGCGAGAGGTATAAATTCGATCTATTCTTTGTCCTTCTGCTTCCTCGAAATAACTTTCCTCTTTTACTGCCATCTTTTTACGCCTGCGATTCACGTGAAACGTTATCCCGACGTGGATGTTTCGCGACCAGCGTTCAACGTTAAATTTCCCTGAAAGATGAACAATTTTCGTCGTTTCTTTTATGCGTAACGAGTACGTATTGTTTATTGTTTCAGGAGATGAAAGTTAATTGGGCCACGTCTCCGGGAAACCAACCAAAGCAAGACACCAGCAGTAAGTATCGTGTAACGTATATTTCGTTATGTTGGTAACACGTTTTTTCTATCGGGTCGTGTGATTTTAAGGAGATCAGAAACGATTCTATCAAGCGATACGAATCATTTCTAACGCTGTAAAATATTTTATCAACCAATTGGCCCGTGGCCAATACAAACAGGCCCTGTAATTTATCCTTCTTTGTTACGATATCCAATTCATCGAGACTTTATTGAATGGACAATGTACTTACGTACTTCAATTTCATCGTTATACTCACTCTCGATATCACGATCACATCTCGTTTAACATAATAATCGAACTTGTGAATTTTTTTCACAGCCCGAATCACGAGTAAATGTGGAATAATTTTTAATTCTTACACTTTTTTTTACATCCGCGTAAATGAACCCGTACACGGATAAAAAAGAAATAAAGAGAAATTAATTTGCATATTGCGGCTAATTCTTCGCGGTATAAATTATACGTTTATAGCCTCGGAAAGTTCAAAAGTTATCAAAGGAGTCTAAACATCTTATCGTCTTTTAAATCCCCTCCTTCGTTTTCTTTTTTTTTAGATCGTCCTTATTTCAACGTTAATTATAACGTTAATAACAATTGAATGGAATTATATATCACGATTTCTTCCATCTTCGTTTCGAGAACTTTTTCCTGAAAATCACGTTGACGTTCGTATAAACGAAATTCGTATTATCATTAGGGAACGAAAGTGGTCGCAAAGTGTAATTGTTCTTAGAGAAATATCCATCTCGCTTTCCCCTGGAACGATGATTTAAAGGGCGAGTTATCAGGTGGAATTGGGCGGAGCAGGTATCCATGTGAATCGGAGAAATTACGGCGTACGAACTCGAGGTAACAGTTTCACGTATTCGTGCTATAATTTCTGCGCATAAGAGCTGTCCGGTACAGGAGGGGTAGTTAGGCATTAAACGTACGTCACTTGGTAAGCTCTTTCGCTCTCTGTTTCCCTACCTTGGAGAACGGGGGGACGTCGTAACTACTTCCTTTCCGTGTATGGATTTTCGTTGCCTGTGCTTACGAAAGAAAAAAAAGAAGAGAAAAGAAAAATTAATACGATCCTACATTGCCCGAATATCTTTCAGCGCGATCCGGTTCGAAGTTACCCTCTCGAATAACTCTGCTTTATTCCTCCGTGTTTTATTACGCGATACGGTTCCAAATCCTTCTACTTTCACCCCGAGTTATTGAAAACTATTAAACGGCGGATTGTTCGGCGGTGTAAAATATTTCTTTTGATTCTCAGCCCGAGATCATAACCGTTCGCGCGAGAATTCTCTCCTCTCGCTTCGTTCGCTTTTCCCATTTCCCCTCTTCTCTTTCCAATTCGTTGAAAACGTTGATGTCTCGTTTAATTCCCGCCTTTTGTGCGTGCACAAAACACGGGAAAAATTTCATTATGCAGCAAGTACTTTCAATTAACCGGGAAAACTTATTATAATTTAATATACGCCCGTCCCTTCCATTTGGCTAATTACGTTTGCAAAATAGTAGCGGATCGCGTTTACTTATTTCGTTCCGGATGATTCGATCTGGATCGGTGTTAATGTAACGAGTAAAATACGCTCAAACTTTTCAACGTTCGAGGGAAGGGAAAAGTTACACATTAAAAGATAATTGTTATCGAAATATTATCCTACAAGTTTCACGAAAAAGTCTCCCGTTTGAAACGAAACGGGGGTGTTTATACAACGTGATACGTGATTAACGTGACGAAGGTGTGTATATAGAAAATTATATTTCGCATTACAGGCTGATTTAATTTAATTAAATTCGTTCCTTCCGTTCTTTTCGCGAATCTCTAATAATAATAAAATTTGAGATGTATTTAATTTCTCGAAATTTCTCGTATTCCGATCAAAATTTGATCGAATGACTTGAAATTACAACGTCGATCGTATATTTATAGAAACTTGTCACACTTCTTTCCATAAATCGAACTAAATTTACCAAAATATTGGACGCATCAACCGTCGATGATCGCATAAATAACAGGGAGAGAAGAAGTTTCGCTTATCGTACCTGGGATGAAGGTCGAGGAGAACACGCGTGTCCCTTTCCTTTATTACGCACGTACACGAAACACTTGGGAGGGATAAGAGGGGGGGGGATGTGCGTGTGTTTGAAATTCAGCGAGGGGTGGCGGCAATAATTTAACTCAGTCTGAAATTCCTCTTTTTATAGACTTGTAAAACCGTGACAGGCACATGGGACCCGATGTGCCTCCACCCATTCCTCGCTCTTTCCCATCCCCTTGTTACCCCCTCTGAAGCTGTTACACTCTACCTTCTCTCTCTCTTTCTCTCTCTCGATCTCTCGAAGCCGCGCCACACCTCCCCGCGGACAAATGCAAAACTAAAACGCGCCTCCCCTTCACCTTCCTCCCCCCTCGTGTAAATACGGAACTGCAGCGGTCGTTGAACGAGCACACTTTTTCTCCGCACACGATCGCGGTTAGGGAGAGCCGCCTCTGCGTTGCGGCCACGATCGAGAAAATGCCCAGGCTTCCTTTACTTTTCCCGTGAAAATGGGACGAAAGTGCACCTGCGCAACTGCGCCTCGTTTCGTTCGAGACGAGGAACGAGCCTACGAAATCCAGTGACGCGAGTTTATTTACAGGGTTTAAGTTTGCGGTTGTATCGTTGCCGATCGTTTGCCTGCCTGAGAAGCGTATTATACACTCGAGAAGAAGGACAAGAGAGGAGGAGATTATCCGCTCTATAACGTTTCGTTGACTGTCACGTGTAAATTCAAAATAGGTTATTCGTATACAATCGTTAGAAAATATGTTAGAATATACTCTGAATTTTCAGAACAATAAGGTAACGTTGGAAAGAAAAACGCGTGTGAAAATAGGCGTTTCCGATCAGATCCGCACTTCTTCCACCTTGTTTCCACCGGAGTGAAAAGCAGAGTGCGCGCGGGATTAAGAGAAAAGCGAAATTCGATGAGCGTAGCGCAAAGTACCCGGCCACAATTTCGATGTTTCAGGCATCGTTTCGTATCGCAAATGGTATCGTATCGCGGACAATTAGGAAGATTTTCTAGGAGGAAATCGAAGGGGGACGTTAACCAGCGAATTACCAGTGGCGGTATATGGATACCGCGTTCCAACTTGCCTCCTAGGATGACGACTTCGAAATGGTGGTCGTTTACGAGCGGTCGTAATGTATGCCTGGGGAATTCTCTGCCCCGGCCAGGAGGAATATTATCCAAAGACAATGGGTGCAAGTATAATACGTAATGAGAGGAGATTTCGACAGTTACATCGAGGCGGGAGGAAAAGCTTTCGGACTTTTATGGTTTTAAATCTTCCTCGTAATACGCGTCATAAAGGGATAAAAATTTTATGGCGCCTTGTAACGTGTAATCGGGATTTACGTGCCGAGCACGATGGGATATATGCCGCTAAGATCCGTAAAATATCAGCAACTTCTAACGTTCCGATTACCAGATTTCGTTTCGATGAGTTAGTTAAGAATAATTTATTGTCGCAAAGCGTCGAATAAATTGCCATTTTTGTTGGTCGGAAGAAAAACGATACATTTCCGAAACTATAATATTCTTATTCAAAATACGAGCCATTGGATTTAACCATCTTTTCACAACGAGATTCCAATCTATATAAAACTCGTTCTTTAATTTTTTAAAAACATTTGGTTGGTGAGTTAATAATAGATGAGTTAAGATTTAATATCTCAATTCGACCAATTTTTGTAGAGTGGTTTGTGATGTATGCGGTTGCGATGCAGAACAATCGACTGATTGTTCTTAATCAATTTCTTGGAAGTAGGATACTGCTGTTGTTCTATCTCTTCTTGATCTTCCTTTTTCAATTTTTTCACTTTATCCATTGCACCCAAATGTCTGAAAACTGTCACATTCGAGACAAGATGTCTAACTCTGCTTCCACTTTGGCCTTCAATTTATCTTCGTTTAATCTGGATTTCGATCTACTCTGAACTCATTTTCAAAAGATTCTGCTAAATTTTTGAAACCACCAGTCCTCTCATCGATAGAATCCTGTTCGAAAGCTAACGCAATATTTCGATACTCAGTTTAAATTTATTCGCCTCTCAAAAAAAACAGTTGAACCAATACCGAAAAGGAAATATAAAAGGACAACGCTAAGCGAAATATAGTCAACTTCACAAGCCACAGTTGATCGCCATTTATCCTAAAATTTCACAACCTAACACGAGCGAATGATCGATTACAGTATCATTTTTGAAACGTGGGTAAAATACAATTTTATTCGAAATTAACTCTGCATACGTTCAAAAAAAGAGCACAGTTTCTTCAGTTACGATTTGATAAAATAGGTACCGTCACTGTTATTATTATTATTCGAAAAGACAGAAAGTTTAGGAAAGAAGAGATCGACGAAGAGAAGGAATTCTCGCTTTTCCATTTTCCCTGGTGGATCGCGCGCATGAGGGAGGAAAGGTGGCGAGCGGGAACTGGATCGAGGAGGAGGGGTGGAAGGGGAAGAAAGCGGATTGGAAGATCGCGGCACGGAGCCGGATTGAGCTTGGCTGCCTAGACCACGCGTAATCGCGCATCGTTTTTCCTGCATTATGAATCGCGGCAGGGGATAATCGTGGCAGTATTTACGAAGCTTTTCGGCACAAAGGGGTTACACCGCGTGTCCCACTCCCGTATTCCGTTTATCTCTGGCAAAACGTTTAGACCATGAGCCGCACGCCTTTGCTGTTTATACGCATTACTGGAGCTGTTATCGTTATTAACAAAACACAACCTGTCTTTCCTCGCGTCTCTCGTTTTCACGTCACGCGCAAACCCCCCTCCCTTCGTCCACCGTTTCATCCTCCTCTGTCCAAGCATCGTGTGTATACAGGGTGTCCCCCTCCGTGCGTAAATATAAGTACGTTGTCCGCAAATATTTTGTAAAAAAAAGTTGTAATAAGAAAAATCGCATTTTCGTTTATCGTCAATGTACGCGGTTCCAATTGAAGAATGGTTCGTGGTGATATCGTTCAAACGTAAAATTCAAGAACCCATGGAAAGGATC